ATATGTTTCTCTTGGAACCTTTCTCCAAGACATACAACTTTACTTTTGCTCAAGAACAATTGTTTCCATTTAGGTTCATCCACTCTCTGTAGATTCTCCATGGGTTCTCAATTCCAGGGCAACTTATTCCAAGAGCTGCAGAGTTCAAGGTGCAGAGAAGCAGCAAAGCAGCTTTGCAATCTGAGGCCAGGCATCTTTAAGATAAAGGTTCCCCTTGACAATTTTTGTCCAGTCGTGTTCGACTCTAGGGGGCGGTGCTCATCCCCGTTTCCAAGCCATAGAGCCAGCGTTTGGTCCGAAGACAATCTTCCGTGGTCACATGGCCAGTGCGACTTAGACACAGAACGCTGTTACCTTCCCACCGAGGTGGTCCCTATTTATCTACTTGCATTTGCATGCTTTCGAACCACTAGGTTGGCGGGAGCTGGAGGCATCTTTACACACAAGTAAACCTCACATGCTTAAATGTTTCGACGTTTAAGAATGTAAGAATTAAGAAAAGTTCTAAACAATGGAAGGCCAGCTTTCCAATGTCTCCCCCTTATCCCCTTGGCAGCTAAAAGTATATTTCTAAAATAATAAAGCCTTCCATATAGTTCTATATACTATAGAAAGATCAAGGAGTCCTCACATTCACATAGGTGCTTGTATGGTTCTACTAAACTGTGGCTGCCAAAAATTGATTGCACCTACAGATAGCAATTAATAAAGGATATGTATTAACTAACTCAACAGTGGCCAGAGGACTGGAAAAGATCAGTCTAGATACCAATCCCAAAGAAGGGCAGTGCCAAAGAATGTTCCAACTACCGTACAATTGCAAGGTTATGCTCAAAATCTTACAGTCCAGCAGTATGTGGACCGAGAACTCCCAAAAGTACAAGCTGAATTTCGAAGGGGCAGAGGAACTATAGACCAAATTGCTAACATGCACTGGATGATGGAGAAAGCCAGAGAGTTCCAAAAAAAATCTACTTCGGCTTTGTTGACTATGCAAAAGCCTTTGACTGTGTGGACCACAGCAAACTATGGCAAGTCCTTAAAGAAATGGGAGTGCCTGACCACCTTATCTATCTCCTGAGAAATCTATACATGGGACAGGAAGCAACAGTTAGAACTGGATACGGAAACATTGATTGGTTCAAAATTGGGAAAGGAGTACGACAAGGCTGTATATTGTCTCCCTGCTTATTTAACTTATATGCACAATACATCATGCGAAAGGCCGGACTGGAGGAATCCCAAGCTGGAATTAAAATTGCCGGAAGAAATATCAACAACCTCAGATATGCAGATGATACCACTCTGATGGCAGAAAGTGAGGAGGCATTAAGGAACCTTGTAATGAGGATGAAAGAGGAGAGCGCAAAAAATGGTCTGAAGCTCAACATCAAAAAAACCAAGATCATGGCCACTGGTCCCGTCACCTCCTGGCAAACAGAAGGGAAAGATATGGAGTAGTGACAGATATTACTTTCTTGGCTCCATGATCACTGCAGATGGTGACAGCAGCCCCGAAATTAAAAGATGCCTTCTTCTTGGGAGGAAAGCGATGACAAACCTCGACAGCATCTTAAAAAGCAGAGACATCACCTTGCGATCAAAAGTCAGAATAGTCAAAGCTATGGTTTTTCCTGTAGTGATGTACGGAAGTGAGAGCTGGACCATAAAGAAAGCTGACCACCGAAGAATTGATGCTTTTGAATTGTGGTGCTGGAGGAGACTCTTGAGAGTCCCCTGGACTGCAAGGAGAACAAACCGATCCATTCTAAAGGAAATCAAGCCTGAGTGCTCACTGGAAGGCCGGATCCTGAAGCTGAGGCTCCAATACTTTGGCCATCTCATGAGAAGAGAGGACTCCCTGGAAAAGACCCTGATGTTGAGAAAGTGTGAGGGCAAGAGGAGAAATGGATGACAGAGAACGAGATGGTTGGACAGCTCCGGGAGGCAGCTCCGGGAGGCAGTGGAAGACAGGACGGCCTGGCGTGCTCTGGTCCATGGGGTCACGAAGAGTCGGACATGACTGAACGACTAAACAAACAAACAAATTAACTAACAAAAATCTTCTTATGCAACCAGACATTTCCACCAACACTGTTCCTGTACTACATAGAAAGGAAACTGCTTTGAGTTTAAAAATATGGATTGCTTCTACATCAATCCCGTGAAATTTCTAGAGCTATGAAAGCATATTAATATGTTTGCAAACAGTTTTGTTGGCTTCTGGCGTATACTGTGAGATTCCTCTCTAACATCACTTCTACACTGGTATTATCCTGTGACTACAGTGCAACTTGTATAGGGTTATGAGTACAATGATGAAAAAAGGGGAAGATACCAACATTACAAGATATTGTTTTAAAATAATTGATTCCTCTCTGTACTTACTATGGTTTTAAGAACAATGTTCTACCAGTTAGAGATTCCTTTTTATCACCATGACACCAGTTTTACTGTCTATGCCAGTGTCACTCATAAACTTTCAGATGCACATCCATTTCATAACTTGTTTTAAGTTTGAAACTCATGTTCAGAAAAGACCAGAAATGTATAGGTCCAAGTGAAATACTGGCATGCTTCTGATAATTCAGAATTGATCCCCATGGATTCTATATACTGTAACATATTTTGACATAAAAATAAGTTTTTAAACAATTCTGAAGTACTTGTGGATTTGAATAGGTCAATTCTCATGGAAAACTGATCTTTTAAAAACATGGCCATACACAAAAAAGTTTCCAGAGGGATGCCGCTCAAATCTTAAAAACAAAAAATAGATAACACGTTGATCTAAGCTTCTCTGAATGTGGTACAGGAAGATTTCTGCAGTCAAGACAATTCACTCTTATTTTACTGTCAATTCATTTTCTTTCCCTTTTAAAAAAAATGACAAATTGGAGGAGGATAACAATGCTATTTTGTTGCAGTAAAAACAATATATAGTTTTGTGAGTTATAGTCTGAAGGGGTTTACACCATAACACATATTCAGGAAATACAGTACAGAGTTCTCTTGATTTTTACATGCAATGAATATTTCCTTGACCATGATACATTCCAATATCAGAACTGACGTCTCCACAAAGAAAAGGGTGTATACACCTGTTTCCAAAAATAGAAGATGATTATCCACTGTGAAATGACATTGCACTGACTATATTCATAATAGTATGAGCAGCAAAAAAAACACAACAACATTCCTCAAGTATTTGTTGTTAATGGGTGGCAGTTTCTGACAAAATCTCACCAGAAATGGTAGCATCAACAAATACACTTCCTGTGAAAACAAGAACAGGGGAATCCTGCAAGCCTCTGGATGTGAGAATGAACAGTAAGTAAGAACAATGCAATGGAAAGACATAAAGGAAATCTGAGCTCTGGTTATATGTCAGGTCATTATTTCATTATATATATACATTATATATATACATATATACGTATAAACACACACACACACATAGAGAGAGATGTACTGTATGTGTATACGTGTGTGTGTGTGTGTGTGTGTGTGTTTGTGTGTGTAACCTCATATACTCAAGGAATGTAGTTTCAGTGTTGCTCCATATTAAACAAGCGAATTCCTCCAGCAACCTTGCAACAAATTACATCCTCATGTTATATTTTATTCATTTCCCTGATATATGTTTAGCTTTCCTTACTTCCAACAATGTATATACATATCCATTTAGTCCCACTTAATTCTGCTCTAGTGCAGATGAACAGGAAGAAGCAGGATTTGAGAAAAAGCAACAACAAATATTTAAGACTGTAAATGCCCAAACACTAACAAGTCTGAAATGGAAAGATTGGTTGCATTAATAATCCAATTTCCCAACTGCGTGTGTTCTATACAAAATGCCCATCTACTAGATATTTTCTTTTATACTAAAATCCTGTAATGAGGTCACATTTTTCCAAACACGGGAGTTCCTCTCTGAAAGTTCAGACATTACACTGAGTACTTGAGAACAAAACTGAATAATTTTACACTCAGGAATATAAAGGAAGTTTGACTGATAACACATTTGAGATATCAAAGTAAGGAAATAATTCCAAATCCCTAACTGCATGCCCAAACTGTCAGTTCCCTGATCATCATCAATGTAAGGTCCTTCCTATATCCATAATGGAAAATTGCCTGCTTCCTCTCTAAAAAGACTTTTAATTCAAATTAAACTAATACACAAAACTTCAGCATTTAGCTTATCAATTCTCTATCTTCACTCCTACCATATTTGCAGACAGCCCACCTAACTTTCTACCTTGAAAAAAAAAAATAGAATATGTAGACATACCCAGCTAAGAAGCAAGTTGTTCAGGCATTAATGGCAAAGGTTTCTATCCTCCCACTTTCTTAGGTAGGAGTAAATTTTTTAAAAAAATCTAGTGGGACTTATTTTGATTCAACACAACACATTTTGCTGCCTGGGGCAGGGCACTAATGACATCCTCTTTAACCTGTCAAAGTATATGTATGCAAAATGAGCAGGTTGCATTCTGCTATTTCAAAGCCATCACTTGCAGAGATGACAGAATGATGTCAGAATGAGGCTTCTTTCCCCTCCCATCCGACCTACAGGGCACTACTGTGGTTTACCCCTATATATTCCAGTTGTTAAAAAATATGTCAAAAATTCTACTGTTTCCCAAACCACCTCCGAGGCAAGGCTCCCGAGTGTCCTTTAACTATGGCATACAACTGAGAAATGCGAGGCGGGGGTGGGGCTGCACTTAAATATATATTCAGTTTTATAAGGCAGCCTAGCCACAAAGGAAACTGTTTACAAGGAAACACACACAAAGCCAACGCCGGTCACAGTAAAGATTTCCTTCCCTGCTTCTCACACGCACTGCCCAAATGGTCGCTGGCGAACCAGCCCGGGCCAGCAACAAGCCCTAGAAAGAAGGTACATATCTCTCCCGGACAAGATGGATGCCGCCACGCAAAATCCGGCCGCGGGCGTGATGACGCTCCTGGAGCACCGCCTCCTGGGCGGGATTCTGGGAGGACGCGGTTTCCATGGTGACGGCCCCCGCTTGAGTCATGTCGGACCTCGGCTCGGAAGAGATCGAAGAGGAGGCAGAGAACGATTTGGGGGTCAGTGTTGGTTGGGTTTTGCACAATGAGGGGCGGCGGTGACGGAGGAGGAGGAGGAGGAGGAAGGTGCCAATAAAATGGAAGGGATCGGGATCGGTTTAGGGCGCAAACTCCATCAGAAACCCAACAACACTTGCTGTTAAGTAAGCCCAAAAGATTTTAGGGATTACTTCTGAGTAAGCGTGATTGCATAGACTAGATAAACACCTCGCGAGGAAACAGTAGCTACTGTGCAGAAGAAACAGGTGGAGTGCTTCCTCTTGGTCCTCTTGTGCTGGAACCCGGGCATCGTCCTGACAGTTTTGACATTGACAGCAATGTTGTTGTGCCTCAGTCAGTAAGTTTTACATTCTCCTGCACATTTCCCCCCATCATGTCTTTAATGACTAACTGTAACGATCTTTCCTTTGCATTTTTTCCTAATGTGGCCATGGTATTCCAGCTTTGTGCTTGGTATGGGTTCTCTGATTTCATAGTCTATATTCACTTAGTATTTTCTCACTGGTCACCCTCTTGATCCAAGGAATTTTCAGCATCCTCAAAAAAGAAAATAAAAAAATAAATCTGCATTTCAGATGCTTCTGTTTTTTTAAATAGTTGTCTATTTTAAAATCCATGATTTTGCACTTTACAGTAGAGCTGAGAATATACAGCACTATACAATACATACTGTCAAAACAAATTTTAAGTTTTGTTTCATACTATATTCTTCACACCCCTTCATGGATTGCTGCCTTGTCATGGTGAAGGGGCTTCAGTAATTCAGAGAAGCTATGGGCTATGCCATGCAAGGACACCCAAGACGGACAGGTCATAGTGGAGAGTTCCGATTAAACACAATCCACCTGGAGCAGCAACTAGCAAGCCACTCCAGTATCTTTGCTAAGAAAACCCCATGATCAGAAACAAAAGGTTAAAAGATATGACGCTGGAAGATGGAACCCTCAGGTCAGAAGGTGTCTAACATGGTACTAAGGAAGAGCGGAGGACAAGTACAAGTAGCTCCAGAGCTAAAGAAGTGGTTGGGCCAAAGCCAAAAGAACGCTCAGCTGCGGATGTGCCTGGAAGGGAAAGAAAAGTCTGATGCTGCAAAGAAAAATACTGCATAGGAACCTGGAATGTAAGATCTATGAACCATGGTAAGCTGGATGGGAGTCAAACAGGAGATGGCAAGAAAAAACATTGACATCTGGACATCAGTGAACTAAAATGGATGGGAATGGGCAAATTTAATTCAGAGGAACGATTATCATATCTGCTATTGTGGGCAAGAATCCCATAGAAGAAATGGAGTAGCCCTCCTAGTCAACAAAAGAGTGGGAAAAGCTGTACTGGGATATAATCTTAAAAATGATAGAATGATTTCAATACGAATCCAAGGCAGACCTTTCAACATCACAGTAATCCAGGTTTATGCACCAACCACCCATACTGAAAAGTCTGAAATTAGCCAATTCTATGAAGCCTTACAACACCTTCTAGAACTGACACCAGAGAAAGATGTTCTTTTCATTATAGGGGACTGGAATGCTAAAGTAGGGAGTCAAGAGAGAAAAGGAACAACAGGTAAGTTTGGCCTTGGAATTCAAAACAAAGCAGGGCAAAGGCTGATAGAGTTTTGTCAAGAGAACAAACTGGTCATCACAATCACTCTTTTCCAGCAACACAAGGGGCGACTCTACACATGGACATCACTAGATGGGCAATACCAAAATCAGATTGATTATACTGTATTCGCAGATCCTGAAGCTGAGGCTCCAATACTTTGGCCATCTCATGAGAAGAGAGGATTCCCTGGAAAAGACCTTGATGTTGGGAAAATGTGAAGGCAAGAGGAGAAGGGGACGACCGAGGACGAGATGGTTGGACAGTGTCATCGAGGCAACCAACATGAATCTGACACAACTCCGGGAGGCAGTGGAAGATAGAAGGGCCTGGCGTGCTCTGGTCCATGGGGTCACGAAGAGTCGGGCACGACTGAACGACTAAACGAAAACGATACTGTATTCTCTGCAGCCAATGATGGAGAACCTCTATACAATCACCAAAAACAAGACCTGGAGCTGCTGGTGGCTTTGTCAAAGACTTTCTCCTAGTCAATAAAGTAAAGATATGTATCCACATTCATGGCATAGCATCTACCCCTAGTACTAAATCCTCCCCGAATCCAAATTACATGGCTCATGCCCCTTCTCCATACTTTCTGTAAATTTGGCAAGTATTATCTTTAGAGATGGTTCGTTAAGCTTGTTTCTCTATATGTATGTGCTACAAATGTTGGCATTTTTCTTTTTCAACAATGTATTAAAGATACTTATTGGCCAAATTTCAGGAATGATTCCTACTCTGCAGATTTGACTGGAAAGGTTTGCTGAAATATCTAAATTATCATTTTTAATTAATTTTGGAAAAAAAACATCTGAGTCCAGGGGCATTGCTTATTATGTTAACCATATTGCATTTTGGATCAAAGTTTTCTGGACCACCTAGTGCAATAGATCCTGTTGGTTGCTTATTTTGTTCTTCATGATACAAATCCATCAATGATGAGCATTGTTATTTTTCTCTCTTTAATATTTTATGCACATTAAAGGAGTTGTGAATTTTCACTACTTTTTCTATTTCTTTGCATTGTTTGGAATGCTATTTTTTTGTCTTTTCTAAAAAAATTTTTGCAATTATATTTGATAAAAATCTTAAATTTTTAAAAATGTTCATCTGTTTCCCTTAGGTCTAATGCTTGTTCTGTTGACCAATTTCCCCTTAATATTTCTACTACTGAGGTTGTTAGTACTCACATCTTCTTGCAGCTTTGTCAGCTTAATGCAAATAGCACTTATATCTAAGCTATTTGAGTATGTGATGTTAATTGAATATGTGATGTCCTTAAGGATCTCCTTTTAACAACGGTTTTTATGGGTGAACAGTAGACCACTCAGTTGTCTGACTGCCATGCTTATTTTGCTTTTACTTTCTAATATTTCCTTTAATTTGAGGCACCTACAATAATGCCAGGAGAATGATTTGAACTTTCGTAACCTCCATGGTATATTTTCACTGACCGAACAATGGTTTGATATCTCTGATTAACAAAAATATAATTTGTTTGGTTCCTTACAAGTTGTTCTCAGTACCCACCTGCAGGGATTTCTATGTGTGTGGCCTTCCTGGTGATATTTTGAATGCAGTGTTTTCTTCTTCTTCACAAAATTGTACCATCTGTGTTGAAGTAGATGAATTTGTGCTTGGACTTGCTTAAAGGTATGTACCTTTGTTCTGAAGCTATGTGATAACTATTCAATAACTATTCAATTCAAATTTAAGTAGGAATATGAAGGTGAACGCAATGAAGCTGGTGAAAGGCATGGACATGGGAAGGCCAGATTACCAAATGGTGATACCTATGAAGGACAATATGAAAATGGTAAAAGAAATGGACAGGTAAGATTTATTTTGTAAATAATTTGCTCATCCTGCACAGTAATAGAGCATAGGGTATTGATTTAGGATTTGGGAGATCAAGGCTCTAATCTTCTTTCGGCCATGGAAAGCACTAGGTGATCTTAGACCAGTTGCTGACTGACACTCAGCCGGCCCAGGACATAGACTTGTGTATGGATAGAGGGGAAAGGAGTGAATCATATATCCTACCTTGAATTCACTGGAGAAAATGTGAGATATAAATGTAACTGAGATTTCTCTGAGGGCTAATTCCTTTGTGGCTGAAATAGTATCCATAAAAGGCACCAACAGGCCTGGAGAAATCTCATGATTTATGGAAGCACCAAAAAAAAATGGGAGGAAGACACCTCTTGAGGTAGACAGGGGAAGGGGAATGGTATTAGATGCTTGCTGGCAGACTCTCTCTGTAGAAAGGATGTCTGGATTAGGAAACCAGGAGAGGAGAATAGAATGGAGAAACTGGAAACCAGAACAGCAGTGTGGCTGTCCACACTGGAAAATTGACCTCTCTATGATGTATATTTTTCAGGGATTCTACAGATTTAGAAATGGTGCACGTTACATAGGAGAATACTCTGACAATAAAAAACATGGCCCTGGTGTCTTTATTTATCCAGACGGATCAAAATATGAAGGTAAATTTTATTATCCTGTTCATAGTGAATCAATCCAAAGGTAATAATAAAAGGTATTTTATTACTTCCCCTTTATTTGTGAAGATTCTGTTGGCTTCTGAAATTGTGTCTATAACCAACGAAAGAATACAGTGGTAGAGAGCGGTGGGTGCAGCTACAAATTCAGTAAATGAAACAGTTACTAAGGCTACACTTTTATAAGAAAAGCAAAATAATCTGTAAAGATGTCTCCTTATCTGCTATTTCTGTTGCCATATTCCTGTTAGAGAAAAAGTGTGTTTACACTATCAGCAACTCCATTTTCATCTCCTTTTTTCTACTTACGCAGAATTCATTTAGTTTAGTTTGCTGTTGATCTCGCCATTATGGTCAGTACAATTTTCATTAATGCTTATTGCAGGAGACTGGGTGGAGGACCAAAGACACGGACATGGTGTTTACTACTATGTGAATGGAGATACATACACAGGCGAATGGTTCAATCATGTCAGGTTTGCTTTTTTGAAGTTTGCTTAACTCTTCTTTTATAATTGGTGAATCTTAAATGATACCTGCACCAAAACTTTGCAGTGTGTTCTTACCCTCTCCTCCTCGATAGAATAAAAACCTGCTAGTGCTGTTTAGGCTGCTTTGGATCAGAGGAAGAAAGCACTTTGTTCTCCACTATGCTGAGGCTGTCCTATGCTATACTGTACTATATAGGAGCTGGCTCAATTCTGACTTTGAGCATTTTACTGCTATTGAATTTCAGAAGTGGTTCTTGAGAGTGGGAAAGAGAAAACTTACCTTTTTCCCTTTGCTTCCTCTTGAAATGTGCTCATACAGTCATGTGAGATGGAAAGTATACTGTCTTTGAATTCTATGGGTTTACATATCACAACATAATAAAATCATCTGGTCCTTAGCAGGTCTGAACAACACCATGTCATGTTTTATTTAATAAAAATAAAGCCAAGATGTGAAAAATGAAGTAGATCTTCTGATTCAATAGTGTATATAATCACCTTTAGCATCAATAACTTGAAGTAATCATTTTCTGTATGACTTTATCAGTCTCTCACATCATTGTGGTGGAATTTTGTTTCAGTCCATTGAGTTATGCAGGCATTTGTTTATGCACAGCTCTCTTAACGTCCTGCCACAGCATTTCAATCATGTTGAGGTCTGGACTTTGACTGGGCTATTGCAACACTTTGATTCTTTTCTTTTTCAGCCATTCTTTTGTAGTTGTGCTGGTGTGCTTGCGATCACTGTCCTGTTGCATGATCCAATTTTGGCCAAACTCGCTGTCAGATAGATGACCTCGCATTTGACTCTAGAGTACTTTGGTATACACAGGAGTTCATGGTTGACTCAATGACTGCAAGGTACTCAGGTCCTGTGACGGCAAAAGAAGCCCAAATCATCATCCCTTCACTATGCTTGACAGTATGAGGTGTTTGTGCTGATATGCTGTGTTTAGTTTTCGCCAAATGTGGCACTGTGCATTATCTCCACTTTGGTCTCATCTGTCCAAAGGATGTTGTTCCACAAGTCTTGTGGATTGTCCAGATGCAACTTACCATGCTGCTATGTTTTAGAGAGAAGAGGTTGTCTCCTGGCAACACTTCCAAACCATATTTGTTCAGTCTTTTTCTAACTGTACTGTCATGAACTTTAACATTTAACATGCTAACTGAGGCCTGTAGGGTCTGAGATGTAACTCGTGGCCTTTTCATAATTTCTCTGATCATTGCACAATCTGACCTTGGGGTGAACTTGCTTGGACATGCATGCCTGGGAAGAATGTCTTGAATGTTTTCCACTTCTGAATAATCTTAGTCAGTGTAGAAGATGGACTTTAAATTGCTTGGAAATGGCCTTATAACCCTTCCCAGATGGATGGGCAGCAACAATTGCTTCTCCACAATAATTGCTAAGGTGTTTCTTCCATGGCACTGTCTTAACACACACCTGAATGATCCAGACCAGCAGACTGCAAAAACTTCAGATTTTATAGAGGTGGTCACACTTGCAGATGATATGTGACTCAAGGGCATTTGGTTAGCAGCACTTGGCTGCTACTTAGCCTCCGAATTCCTATGAAAGCAGTAATGGTGTACACTACAGTACTTAATTTTCCACACATGGCTTTTCCATTTTGGCTTTATTTTTGTAAAATAAATCATGGCATGGTGCAATATGTTATGTGTTGTTGTTCATCTAAGTATTGTTTAATCTGTATTTACCTAATCTTCGGACCTGCTAAGGACCAGATGATTTTTATCGTGTCCTGATATGTAAAACCATTCAATACAAAAATTCAAAGAGTATACTTTTTATTTCACATTACTGTATGTAGTATTCTGTATTTTTCCAGAGCTGTTTCTATTTCTATTTTCCAGAGCTGCTTCCCCGCTCCATGCAGAGGTGATCCAGTGCTAAACTAGTGTATCAGTGCAATGTCTCAGTGCTACATTTGTTTATTCAGAATAATAATACAGTAATAATCAGGGAGACTCCCCCCCACATGACTGTATAGTACAGGAAAGGATGTTTTTAAACCTATTTGTCAATAACAAATGCTTCCCCACTCCATGCAGAGGTGATCCAGTGCTAAACTAGTGCATCAGTGCAATGTCTCAGTGCTACATTTGTTTATTCAGAATAATAATACAGTAATAATCAGGGAGACTCCCCCCCACATGACTGTATAGTACAGGAAAGGATGTTTTTAAACCTATTTGTCATTGTCATTTAAACATTGAACCATAATTCCCATCCCCCCTCTCCCAGTAATAATTCTAAGCTTAGGGACCTGAACGAACCATTTCCCCATCTCCGCTACATTTCACCATCGCATTCTGGCAGTCCCATCTCTTCTTGCTCATTGATTAATGTATGGAGATACACAGCCTGCTCAGCCCCTGGTATCTTTAAATCTTTTCCACTTGTTCTCCAAGAAGAAGTGAGAGTTGCACATATATATAATAAAAGGAAGCGTCCAGGATTTTGGTGTATTTCCGATTGGACAACAGTGTCTGCCTTCCAGCAGAATCTGCCATGGAGGACTAGAAGGGGATGAGAAGAGAATTCCTTTGTGACTGTTGACACGATGTTAGATTAGGCCTTGTGAAATTGATTTAATAATAATCTAAAATGTCTTAAGTTGCCTTAATATAAACAATTCCGTCCTTTGGCTGTGTCAGAAAGATTGCTTTGATGCCCAAGATTAAGGTTTCATGTGAAGATCCTTTTTATCTCTTCATAGGCATGGACAAGGTACTTACTTCTATGCATTAACTGGTTCCAAATATATTGGCACCTGGGCAAATGGACAACAAGAAGGAGCTGCTGAACTTGTGCATCTAAACCATAGATACCAGGGGAAGTTTGTGAATAAAAATGTAAGTATATAAGAAATGGTTGTATGCTGGGAGCATTTTGCAAGGTTTCAATCTGCATGTTCTTCTTTGAGCATACAGAACTATCTCTTCAGTTTACTTTGTAGTTTAAATACAAAATCTCCCCATTAACCCCTTAAGTTATAGTCTTAATATCCAGTAGTTCCTTGTATATAGAGGATCTCTAACATTCAATCATAGCCTCAGGTAGACAGTGCTTTTCACTTACTTTAGTGCAACAGCAATTCCACTGTCCACATGGAGCTTTTAAAGATGTTTTGAAGTATTTTGGTAAATGGAATATAAGTGTTGTGACTAGTACAGCAAGACCAATTAATCCTGTAATACCTTAAAATGAGGCTGTGAAAACTGGGCAAGTCCAGAGCCAATTTTTATCATTTAGGACGTTTACTATCACAAAGATGACTTTCCCCCTTTGGGAAAAAAAAGTGAGTGGCTTGAGGTTTGCTTCCTAGTTTTTGTCTTTAAGACTATGTACTTTGCTTTAGAGCAGGATCAGGTTTCTGGCAGATTCCAGCAGCACCATTCTTCTTACTCTCCCACTTCATTTTCCCCTAGCAAAGGTGGTGGGACCTAGGATTCTTGGGGTTCCAGAAGCATAAACTCTTTGGCAAAAATTTTTTAGACCTCTGTTCCCTACATTTGTCAAGAAAATAGAAGGAAAAATGTAAACGGTAAACAATACAAATACAGTCTGTGACAACATTAAAGTGGCAAGTGTACCTTGGAATACAAATATTCTTCCATAGGTTTCTGAATGTTGTTCTTTACTATTACAGACTTGTGTCCTTCCCCGCCCCTTCATAGAGACTGATTTTCCCCCCAGAAAAAAAAACAGAAGGTCATTACTAGCACATTCCTGTTGAACTACAGTATTTTGTAATTCATAGGTATATTGTTTTAGGATATAGTGTTGTCAGAATATTCATTTTCATTTCTTTTCCCATATAGCCAATGGGCCCCGGGAAATATATATTTGATATTGGATGTGAACAACATGGTGAATACTTTCATGAGGTAAATACAGTAGCATTAAATAATGTGAATACCAGAAAGCTTAGTAGTTTAGCCATTATTATTAATCACCTGGTTCATTATGTATGTGCCTTGAGGTTAAAATAAGTTTGAAGAAATAATTTTTTTGAAGAAATATATAACGTCCTCTACATTAAAGTGCAAGAGGAAACATTATAGTTCCAAACAATGGTAATAACGGTTCTGTCATTTATCTTCCATTCATAAGAACTGTCGTGGGTTCTGTCTTAGGACTCATTCACACAGTAGTGTTGAACTCGGATCATTCTGGGGCTGTGCAGAGTTGTTTGGGTGTTATTTATTGCACATATGAACAGATTATCTTGGTATTTGCATCCACATATGGGGAGGGTATTTGTTGCTCAGTGCACTGGGTCATTCTTATACTGCCTGTCCCAACATGGATGGCCCTCCCAATTTGCTTACCTCTTCCATTCACTCCTGCCTGATTCACATGTTCTTCCTTTCTGTCCTTGTTTTAGCCATCAACAGGGTATGGAGGGATGATTGACCAGTAGAAAATGCCCATAATGAAATTTCATTAAATGACACCCACCCACAAATTGTGCAGATCAGCACAGAGTACCACAGTGTCAAAGGTCACCCAAGCAGATCCTGACTGCAGCAAATCAGAGCAAAGCAGAACAGAAATACATCACTGATCGGCCAGAAAACAACAGGAAAGCCTGGGGTTTGTTGGTTGGTTGGTTTTTTGTCCTGCTTTGACTCTACTGATTCTAGCTCCAGTCCTCCATTGTGTGGGCACCAGGATGCAATTCAGGTATAATGGAACACTGAACATGGGGAGCATGGATGGACTCTAAGATGAGTAATAGATTAGTAACAGCATAGGACTGATTTGAGGTAAATGCTTGTACGGCTGAGCCTGTCATTCAGTGCATACTATGAATGCTGATTTTCCAAGATGATAATCTGCTGATAAAACCTGCAAAGTGTCTTTTTCTGGTGGGTGGTACAGATTTTGCTGTCAAGCAAAGGATGTTGCAGTTTAAAATAATGTCTTTCAAATCTACAACCTTGATGTTTTCCATTCAAACCTGCAAATTTGTTGAAAACATCTTCCCCATAATCTCAGTATCTCCCTGCCCTCCAGAAGAGGTAGCAAAAAAATGCCTTTCCTTTGGAGTTACAGGCAGCAATCAGCCATCACCAAAACATATTACAAACCATTGTAAAATTTTCCAGAAATGCATACTTTCAACCATAATGGGAATGTTATACTGCAACTCTCCATTTTCAACACATTCCATCTTTTCAACAAATTCATCTTTTTTCATTTTTTTTCTCCCCATATGTGTGGTGCAATTCATAGTTCACTTTGATTCCTTTTTACAATTCACTTAGCTCATGCAAACTAAAACCAAGAGAAGGGGCAGCAAAGAACTGCCTTCTGTCCAGAACTATGAGAAGCAGCCCATCATTGAAGCTTTTATCTACACGGAACCTAGTACAACAGAGGTGCTCTCTGGCTTTGACGTGGAGTGTTTCTGCATGATTTGTCTGCATGTTGTAGAAAACCAAACCATTCTCTCTTGTGTGCAACATAAGTTGGGAAAGGAAATTTAGGGAGAAATGAATTCCTTTGGAACAATGATACATGGTAGTTGAGTAATTCTCCACAACAGTTGGAGTATGTTAGTGTCAAGTTTAAATTAAAATCAACTATTTTACAATACAGGTGTTAAAGTTCCCACATAATAGCCGGGGATCCTAGGGAAGAGTGGAATCCAGGGACAGCATGACAAAGGGTATATTTTCTGGGAGGAAAGACAAGCAGGATGAACAACTGCATATTTGCTGTTCAATTGGTCACAGTTATTTGTTACATTCCTCACTGAGGAGCTGACATTTCTGTTAACTTTGTTAGAAGAAGTTAAATCATCCTCATGGTTTCATATGTGTGGAAGCTTACAGTGCTATTTACTCCTTTATTGTATAAAATTTAATTGTACCAACGTACTTTTCCCAGACTGACAGAAGAAATAAGAAAGATCCAACAAGCACTCTTACACCAACAGCCGCTGTCTTTGGGCAGAATATTCTATAGTCAAACTGCCAGAAATACAATTAAAATACAAAATAGGAGAGTAGTTCAAAGCAAAGTATCTCAATAAGCAAAATACTTGCTTAAATAAAAAGAGGTCTGCCTGTTGCCAGAAGAAAATTGTGAAAGAAGTTTTAAAAAACCCAATTTTTGGATATTGGTGATATAAAGTGAAGGGCCCTTCCAGAGGATTTCATTACCCAAGCAGGCTCCTGTGGGCTTCCTCAGGAAGCTTGGCGTTGACCTATTTAGGGATGTACATGTCATTAGCAGTAGTTTTTGCCAGACATTGAACCCAAGGTAGATTAGTAGTTATATGCTTGCTGTGACAGTGATTGGTCAATCATTTGGCTGCAATATTTGGGACCAATAAGGAACTTCAGAGGCAGCCCCTCATAAAGTATGTGGCAGTGATTCAAACAAGTGCTTAGCAAGGATATGATGCATCTTTCTGGGATAGCTGAAAGTTGCAGGAAATCCCGAGATACAATGTGAGGGTATACATATACATGTAACTGACACCAAAGCAGCGGGGAAAGGCTGTAATTACCAAATGGGCCTGGTAACTTCCATCTTCCATGCATGTCATCTTTAGGAAAAAGCAGAAGAAGAGGAAGAGGAGGAATTCTTGGCACCCATGATCCCCAAATGGAAAGCAATGAAAATTACTGGTCTTACACTCTGGGCACCCGAAGAACCACCTCCTGTTCCAGAAGCACCTCCTGCAGCAACTACAGAGGCTCCACCATCTGAAGCCGAGGAACTAGCAGCTACAGGTTTGTACTCTGGAATGTGGGAGCCAACGTTCAAGCACTGACTAGTGCAATACATCTAAATTCATTTCAAAAGGACTCATTATTTGGGAGACCAAGATTTTATATTATATTACCATTGTATCCATGCATTTTGCACTGACACAATATAAGATTTTCCCAGTAAATCTAAACCCAGTTGCATGGAGGAATATGGTCATAATTCAAGCTGGAAACTACAGAATGGTACATATAGAGGGAGAAATCTTGTTTGACCCCCATAGGTCCTTAGAATTTTCAGGCATAAAGATAGTCACTAATATCCTCTGTCATTTTAAGGACATACAGCAATAAGAGCATTTCCAGCTACTTAGAAACATAGAATTAAAACTGAGAACTGTAACAGAGCCTTCAGAGTAACACTGACTGTCCAGTTCTAGTTATGACTCAGTATTCTTTACAAGGTTATCTGGAAAATTCCTAGCAAGAAAATCTGCTATGTTCATTGAAGCTTAGGTAAAGGTAAAGGTTCCCTTTGACATTTAGTCCAGTCATGTCCATCTCTAGAGGGCAATGCTCATCCCCGTTTCCAAGCTGTAGAGCCAGCGTTTGTCCGTAGACTAATTACAATACAGTTTTTTAAAAGAAAACAATTGTGGTTTTTAAAAAATAATTTTGGGCAGATCAATCCAAGTTCTTTTACTCATAGGGTTTAGGATAAGGGCAATATATCACTCTGCTGGAAAAGCAGAGCTCCATCAAGGGGTAGGTTGAATCTTTTCCACAGAGGTCTCATAGCCGCAGAAACTTCTTTGAGCACAAATTTGCTTCCAGTAGTATTTCTACCAGTGGTAGGCCCTGAAATATAATGTTTTGAGGCAGACTGGAGTCAACTTTGGCTTTGCTGGATGAGGTCCCTCAGCTATACTAACCTACCATTGGTGTGATCTTCATTGGTTTCAGGGGAAGAAGGTGTTTTAAAATGCAAGAAAAAAAAGTAGGGAGATCCGGCCTTCCAGCTCCTTCATGGACTGGCATAAGTTGACAGGAATTTAGAAATAGTGGAGAATCAATTACTTCACTCCCTCTTCCTAAAATGATTCTCTATTTTAATTAAGTCATATTACTACTAAAAGAAAAATTTGACTGCAATATGTACATACAGTACTTATCTGCATTAAAGTCATTGGAACATACTTCTGAGTAGATGTGCCTAAGATTGCACTCACTATTAGTAACCATACTTATTTGAAAATGCTTGATAGGAATAGCAAAGCAGATTGATAACAAACAAGATTAGGATTTTACCCAAGATGGTTATTAAGGGAAATACATTTCATGCATGTAAGCAAGGTAGTAATGCTTTCATTCTTCATCCCCATTCCAGGTGGTAGTGAGGCTGCTGAAAGTACAGAGGCACACGCAGAGACACCTGAGCCCATTGAAACAACAGCTTCACCTAGAGACACAGAGGAAGAGGAAGAGGCAGCTAAAGAAGACCAGGGAGAACCAGGTGAGGGGGCTGGGGGAGGGAGGTTGAGGGAAAGGAAGTATGCCATGGGTGATTGAGGTGATCCCTTGAAAGCATGGGACATTATTTACTAAGATATTCTATCCCTCCTTTGGATCAGATGATGCTTACAATAGATAGTAATGATATAAACACAATCCACAAATTCAGAATTGTCTAGTAGCGCTTTCTCCCCTGGCCAGTGAGCAGGGCCAGAGTATGGTTCTTTTCAACTCTGCAGTCCCACGTGAACTGAGAATTAGAGCTAGCCACTCTTCTGAAAAGGGGAAGAGTGTAAGGATATAGAATTTCCATGAGATTGTGTGCAACCTTCCAGTATGAGGTAGGTTCCTCAATTCAGGTACAAACCCACAGGGTCTGGCATCACCACAGTGCATTGCTGGAGTTAAAATGCTTCCGGGCCAAATAACTCCAAAGGGTGCTTGTGTGTGCTGCATGGCCTGTGGAAGTTGTGCTTCAATCCCTCATACATGCTTGTTTGCTTGCTTTCTGTTGGATGGCTGCTATGAGGTGCGGGGCCAGAACAAATGGAGACGTCTTAGGTCTCAGCTTCTGTTTGGAAATCAGAGAGTGCTCTTTCTCTTTCTGGAGCACTTGCCTTCATATTTTGAAGGACACCTTCACTCACTGTTATCTGAGGCAAGAGACAAAGGTTTTTAAAATATTTGTTTAAAAAATATTTTTTTAAAAAAAAAATATCTTTTTTTCAAAAATTATTTACAGCCCCAGCCATCACAGAAGAAAAGGAGGAAGAAGCAAAAGATGCTGAGCCACAAGACTAGGGAGAAAAAAAAATGAAAACAATAACAAGGCAAGAGGCACAAGCCAATCATGGTTAAATATTTTTAGGTTCCTTTAATTTTAACTAAACGGTTAAGCACATATTTAACTCTCTCTCTGAACTTAGTAGAAATTACAAGTAGTTGACTTTGAGGAGGTCTCATGCTCCTGTTTCCTTTTTTAAAAGAATATTATCTGGACTCCTTTATTCATAATCCATGGGATCAGCCTTAGCTCATGGTTGTCAGAGATTAGAGGCAAAGACTGCCTCTACCTGTCATAACTCCTTCCTTGTCTCTTTTGGTGCTTTACATGGCCCAACATAATGAGTTGGACCTAAATTTAGTTATGCATGGGATATGAATGTTCCTTTTGAATTCAAATGTCTGTCAAGCTATTTTGAATAAAGACTTTTTTTGCTACTATAAGTCTGATTATCAGTCTGTCTTTTTTGTGCATTTTTCCCTTGTTCCCTTTTCAGTCGTACATAATGTAGCCAGCCCTAGCTAGGTAGCTTTCAGAGAATTCTTCATAAAAGATTTAACTTCTCATTTAGAAGAATTTTGAAATCCAAGAAAGCAAGCAAGCTTACTGCATCTGAATGATGCAAAAGAAGCTTTAGGGGTGTCCCTGTTACCCAACATGGGTGAAGAAACAGTAGATTTTTTTGTTACCTGTGCAGCATAGGGGAATGTAAACTTCCTAGTTCATTCTTCAACAATATCCAAGGATAATTAAGAGTATTTAAAAGAGAGAGAAAAATCTGGACTAAATGTGTTAATCTAAAATAAAGTCTTATATATTCAAATAGAAAATCTTGTTCATGTTACTACATGTGGCAATAGCAGGGCACAGATGCCACCTGGAGGCTTCTTAGGTCCCCAAGTGGCACCAAGGCCAGTCCTCTGCCAATGCAGGAAATCTATTTAAAGCATCTCCAATAGCTACTCATCCTACTTCTGTTTAAAAACTTGCAGCGAACGACACTCCCTGCTTTAGAAGGTCATGCGTTGCACTGATGAACAACTTTTACTGTCAGGACATTCCTCCTACTGCTTAGTGTAAATTTCTTTTGTTATAACCAGAACCCATTGATATTGTTTTTACACACACAAACACGCACACAAACAAATTCTCTTGTTCACAAGTTCATGCTCATCTGAGGTTTCAAGTTGAGAAGGAGTATGTAGCCTACATATTTTCCTTAAACTCAGTCATCAATAAAAGACAGGAGGATCTTTTCAAAGGATGTTCCTTTGAAAATATTTTTTGCTCTTTGACCATTTAAGCTGGTTGCAGTGATCTAAAACAAGAGAAAACCTTTGGGGGTGGGAGCACATGGCCTATATGGAAACCTATTTGGCGGTGGTTGTGACCACATTTCTAAAGCTGAGAAGACTATTATGTATCCCTCTAAAGGTCCACTCATATACACTTAAGACGTAAACAGTCAATAAAGATGAAAATAAATGTCACTCTTGGCAAAGCTACTTTTTTGGATTCTAAGTCCCATCATCTCCCAGTCTGGATAGTCAATGGATATGCCAAGTAGGATGTTTTGGGACTAGTTATTCAAAAAAACTAACTTTTTCTAGCTGTGGCAAAGGCACATAGATGCCCCTATTTTGCACATTACACTGCTGTCTCTCAACTGTATTTTTCCTTTACCAATTCTAAAAGTCAGTACAAATATTTCTACAAGCCAGCAAAAATAAATTGTATGCACATCTACCGTCTTCCCTCTTAAAAGTAGAAAGACCTCTTGCAGAGCTGGAGGCAAATGATAGTGTGCAGCTAAAACACAAAGAGATAAATGACATTGACAAATGTGACAGTGTTGACACAAACAAGCATCTGTTCTGGCTTTGTTTTGTTCTTTTGGAAAGGAATGTTAACTTTGTTGCTTATCAGTGCTCTCAGAACTGTCTACCTCTCCAGTCGTCAGAATATATGAGAATTTCATTTGGTTTGTTTTTCTATATGAATGTATACCAATAAATGTGAGGAAAAGAACTTGAGGTTCTAAAAACGTGGGATAAATTGACTCGTGGCACACTGGTTAAACTGAAGTGCTGTAGTGAAGACTCTGTTCATGACTTGAATTCAATCCCGACCTCAGATAATTGGCTGAGTATTGACTCAGCCTTCCAAGGTCGGTAAATTAAGTAGCCAACTCACTGGGGGAGGGGTAATGTGTAGCCTGCATAATTAAATTGCAAACTGCCCAGAGAGAGCTTTAAGCACTATGGGACAGTATATAAGCAGCCCACATTGCTTTGACATATTTGTATGACTCTTCTCAATGCAGGGTGGCACATGGCCATCTGGATTAAAACACCTCATGTCTGTTATTTTAGTTCAGACTTTGGAACCTAACAAATAAAAGCCAGGTGCCAAAGAATGCCATGGCTAGGTCTGTACACTCCCTGTTCTGTGTTACAAATTATTTTTGAAACCTTAATCTCGAGGAGAGCTGTGACACAATCAATACACAGGGGGGCTGTTTCACAATGAGCCTCTTTTACGGGGAAACCAGCTGCCATTTGAATCCTCTCTTCCTCAACATGGTGTCTGGGTGATTTTGTCCCTGCCCTTCCCTCCTCTTATTTCCCCTTCCCCTTCCTTCTTTCGAACTAGGGCAGTTAGGTAGCCAAAGGGGGCCAAAAAAGGAGCAAACACTTGTCATAGAGGAGGAAGCTTTAAGGTACAGTAGCTCTATTCTAACTGTGCCTCCTGCAGATCTGGCCAGTCAGAGCAGAGCTGCCTTAAAACTTCCCCCTTTCTCTCTAACAAGTCCTCACTTTTTTCCATAAGAAGATGAGAAGTGAAAACCTCCCCTCTCTCTCTGCCCATTTCTTGCTTCCCCCCCCCCTTTCATCATGTACCTGTCCTAGTGTTATAGCACTATAAGCGAAAGAACTAATGAACGAATGAACAAAGCAGACCCAGGCACCAGATGTCGGGAGGACAGGATACAAATGGTTAACAAGCTGCAAATAAGGCTGATTTCCTGTCTTTTCTCTGCTGTGCTTGGCTGAAGTGAATTACCACAAGGAAACCCCACTTCTTAAATGTGACACCACAGCAACTCTATTTGTATTTTCCTACTGTGTCTTTGTGCCCTCTATTAGAAGACATCCAATTAGTAAATAGCTAAATATATATTTTAGAACTTCTTGGATATAGTGGACATAGCAGGCGTTCCCAATAGCAGCAAAGGAAGCTACCTTATATTAAATCACACTGTTGATCCATCCATGTTGTCAGCTTTCATTGGCTGCAGCTTTCCAGACTTTCAGGTAGTGTTCTTTCCTAGCCATGCTTGGAGAGTCCTCGATAGTCTCCATCCAAGTACCAACCAGGATGAACCCAGCTTAGCTTCTGAAATTAGATGAGAACCAGGGTTCACCAAATCAAAGCCATGGGATTTTCTGTGTAGTAGGGACCTTGACATCACCTGCCATCTCCTTCCCAGACTTCCCTGTTCCTTCTGAGCTTAACTACAGTTCTCACAGAAACTGTAGGAGAAATGGATTTCCCATAAAACAGGGTATTGCTCCAAGTATTTGAGGGTGGTCTGGTCTTCAGTGGGCAATGAAGAGCCATTCAATTTCATAAAGACCTGCTCCTTGTTTATTTATAAGGACTGATCCAGCTGCCTGCATTTTTCGACTCTACGTAGGGGGTAGTAGTGACTGTGTAGACTGCCATTTCCAAATTTATTACCATATTGCATGGTATTGTGGAACTGTACCTCTAAGCTGTTGCAGCAACAACAATATGGAGAGGTTCATGTTTTGTGGCTGTATTTATGTTGTTTGTTCAAAATAAGATTTTCAAAATAGAGGCTTGGTGGTTCATTTTTAGTTCACACCACTAGATGTCACCCTAGATTGTTGTACAGTACAAGCATTTTTACATTGGAAACTAGGGACAGATTCTCAAACCTATAGTTCTCATGGGGATGCCTCAGGGAGGCTTTCATGGTTCAATCCCTCTACCTCAAAAATTGATTTTTTTTTTAAACAGGAGAATCCAGACAACATTCCCTTCTCTTTTCTAATTCTCTGATATTTGCCAACATCCCTTTCTGTTTTTCTGTTTACAACCATAATAACAACAATTGCCTGCTATAAAGTCAATTCTAACTTATGGTGACCATTTTAAGGTTTTTCTAGGTGGAGGATACATAAAAGTGATTTATTATGTAGCTATATTTTTCTTTCCCTCTTCCATTTTTAAAATATCTTGCTTACAATAAAGACATATTAAAAATGGAAGAAGAAGAAAAAGTTGCTTAATGCCTTTTGATTAACAGTTGTAAGAACTTTCCCTCAGGAAAGTCCCTTAGCTTAAGGATTTCAAAGCCAACCAAAGCACTTGCCAGCTTTCAGTGAGCTCAAGGACTATGGATCAGGTTGACTGTCTTCATTTTCCCGCTGGTGCTAGTCCATCAGTTTTATCACTATGGCTGAAAGCTTGTTTTCATTAGCATACTTCTTTCATAGTGAAGGCATTTCACTGTGAACCTCTTAGGAAGGAAGAATGTAAGAAAGGAATGTGTGTCCATTCATGGTAATTATATGTTGGTTTAGGTATCTGACTGCAGAGCCAGAGGTTGGGAGTTCGATTTCCCCTGTGCCTGCTGAGAGAAGAGCCAGCCTGTATGGCGGCCTTGGGCAAGCTGCAACTCCACAAGAAGGGAATGGTAAACTATCTCTGACTACTGTCTACCTAGAAAGGGCCACCATAAGTCAGAATCAATTTGATGACACACAATTTATTATTATTATTATTA